GCGGGAGACTCAGGGCTGTTGCGGTGGGGTCTCTGCCTGATGTCAAGTGAACGTGTCTTCAATAAAGTGCCATCTCAAGAGAAGTGTGTTCAGTGGTCATTACACAGGTGTAGTGATGCCGACACACGTTCTGACTTTTAAGAGCCTTTATTCAGACACAGCACGAACGATGCCCATGGATGGATCTTGAGGCTTGAGCGCCGTCTCCTCTCGAACAGTCCTCTCTCCTTGTGCTTGTCTCATTTATACCTCCTAGGCCACACTCGCCGGAAGCTTCTATCACTCCACTCCCTTACGGCCAATCATGACCCTTCCCCACCAACGGTTCTTAACCGTCCACCTCCAGTCCGCTGCCTGCGCTTCCCGCCTTTTTACCATTTCAAATCTTTCCTCCAATCCCTTTCAATCTTCGCCTCCCCGCCAATTCGCTGTGGAGGCCTCTCTGCACCAATGGGAGGCCTTGGCCTACTCGCTGATTGTTTGTCTGACCGTAACACTTCAGGTAAGCGGTCTGTTATCTCGGTCATGACACCAGGTGAGGCAATTATATCAACCCCTCCTCCCTACGGTGCCCCCCCTTTCGTGGTGCCAGCCTGATTGCACATTGTAGACAATTATCACGCGTTTAATAAAACAAGTAATACGGTAGGAACCGTTGGGAACCAGTTTGGGGACATTAAAGCAACTAACACTAAAAAACACGAACTTGCGTCGACGCCATGGTACAGTGAGTGTTAAATCACCATATTTTTACAACCTCACATAAATAAAATTTAAAAAATTAACCCGTAAAAACAAAGTTTTTCACTATAAATCCTTTATATGCGTGGCGGCTAGAGTCCTCTCGTCCTCTGGCTTGAGATGGCTGCCACCTATGGGTCAGATGATTGCCTGCCACCATTAAGCAATTGGTAATTAAATATAAAAACAAATTCCCAAAAATGTTGAACATTTTGGGAAAAAAATTTCACGAAAATAAATTGTCACGCACAACGAGTCTGTGTGCAAAATGTCAGCTCGATTGGATCACGGGAAGTGGGTTAAAAAACGACCGAAAGATTTGCACGGTCGTAAGTACGCAAGCAAGTGAACTTAATATAAAGGATTTAAAAATAGAAAACAAATAACATTAATTGCCTACTTCGTCTGCAGTGCCCACCAGACATTGTTCAGAGCTCATTGGGGGGTAAAGTGCGTCTCGAGTGAGTCTCGAATTGTTCTGAGCTGCAGTCACGAAAGCTTTAAATCGAAAAATGTTCTGAGCTCGTCTGGCAGCCTCTTTCGTAACTCCGACACTATCATAGAATAGGGGGGGGGGGTCGTGGCATTCACAGTTCAGATGTTGGACCAAGTCACAATGACGAACTCGCTGTCTATTACTCGAGCTCAGCGTGCACCTGCAACGAGGTGGGTACGTATGATAACGTCCCCCGATTTGGGTGCTAGCCTGAATGATGACTGGCAACTTTGTGAACTTAACAGAGAAAAAAACCGAGACCCTGTTTAACCGCAGGCTAGCAGATCGAACCCGGATTGGAACCCAGGAGGCAATCAGCGGTGTCGGCTCAGCGCGCTGACCCCCGAGTCACCGGGCCACGTTCCCCGTGTGGCCCCCAAGGCTCACAGTGCCAAGAGGTCGGAGGGGGTCACGTACAGCGCCGTTGGGTACCACCACGTCTCACGGCAGTGCCGCGCTCAGCGTTAGTAAACCGAGAAGACAGCACAAGGCACCAAGAAGGTCAAGTGGTCCCGGAATCATTAACAAATAGGGATATATTTCAGCTTAAATTCAGGTTATAATAAACACGACGAAAAAATAATATATAGTAATAATTCCATGTATACAGCGCTTTTCATCAAGGATATCAAAGCGCTGTACGGGACAGCAGCAACAGACACTCAGCATAAAAATAATTATATTATACATACATTTTAAGCATTTTTTTTTAAAATGAGCTAAACGTTTACTAAGCGGAAGCATATACGTAGTTTTTAAGGCGCGTTTTTAAATTGTCCACAGACTCATAAATCCTGATATCTCGTGGAAGAGCATTCCATAGCCTGGGGGTTACACGGGAATAATGAGCAGAAACATACAATGAATCTCTCTCGTCGAGTTCTATCATTCCACTGCTTATCTAACTCTTGTCTTACTGAGATTGTATTTATTGAAAGAGTGGTGGGGGTATGGGGTGCAGATAGAATTTCTTTAGGCCCAGAGTAGAATCGCCTTTTCCACAGAACCCGGGACACATTCTCCGGTCAGCATGAGGTCCATGGAACCTGTGTAGCAAGGCCGTAATTATAATATTGGGGGGGGGGCACACCCCCCCCCCCCAATATTCAAATATGCTCAAAATGTCCCCCCTAATATATTGCTATAAAAAAGTTATAATAATTGCTATGATATTTAAATAAAAACAATTTTCTAAACCTTGGCCACAATATCTGGCATTGTCTTCATATAAATCAATGCATAGATTGCTGTTTATATGAGTGTGGTTATGGTTGTACTTTATTAATCCCTAATTTCAAACATTACACACAATGAAACAAGAAATGGTTAAAAAAAGTTAAAACAGAGCAATGTAATACAATGCACTATTAGACATTATTGTGAAAAATAAAATAAAACGTCCATCCCATGTGTTAGTGAATTTTTTTATATTTTAGGCAGGAAATTCGTTTTCAAATTTAGATATTTTTCTCGGTTGGGACCCCCAGACCCCCTGGAAGATTTGGTCCCCCCCAATGTTGAGTCCATGGCTACGGCCTTGCTGTGTAGGTTATTGTTTTTTTACCCTTTTATCTGGCAACAAAACTGACACCTTTTTTACGAGGAGTCATGTTTGCATAGACCACAATACCTGCAGTCATAATACAAACAGAGTTATGTTTTTGTTTGCATTATGACTGCAGGTATTGTAGTCTATGCTAACATGACTCCTCGTAAAAAAAGGTGTCAGTTTTGTTGCCAAAAGGGTAAAAAAACAATTATCATATTTTTTTACTGGCAAATGAGGTTCCAATGGTGTAAATGCTTATCCCGAGCTCTTATACTCTGATGGTGCATTGTCTTTGAGTTGTGCGCCTTTTGGCGTCATCTGATCCATCACCATGTGAGACTAGGCTCTAAGGAAATCTGTTTCGGGTGTGGACCAATGCACTTCAAGGACAGTGCATACATTATCAGAGTTATGTTTTCTGTTTGCATTACGACTGCAGGTATTGTGGTCTATGCAAACATGACTCCTCGTAAGGTCTCATAGTGGTACTGCAGTGGTTCTTCTTAACCTGGGGTGCACGCCACCCCCTGGGGGTGCGAGATGCCCTTTCGGGGGGCGGGGGGTGCAAGACATGGAAAGATTTGTTTTGAAGGTAAATAATCGAGAACACAAGTTACTCAATGGGCACGTGATTGAGTGGAAGACTCAAGGTGGTCGAAATCACAGAGAAGACGGCAGAGAAGAGGCTGTGGGTGTGGTTCCGTCATGCGGGAGAGACGGCAGGAAAATGATGCGGGTCAGACGATGCGCGTGATGTAATTGGCAAGGAAAGATATGAAGAGGTCGGCAGAAGAGGTGGGTGGGTAGGGTCGAGGAGAAAGAGATGGCGCAGGGCGGGGCAGCGTGGAGAAGTTTGGCAAGGGCAGTGGAACAGCCCGACGACACGAGTGGGACAAACGCGTGGTAGAAGAAGTACAGTACAACTTTCTCTGTTTAATCAATCTCTATGCATTTAATCTAGATTTGAAGTCGATGTATTTTTTTATAGGTTGGCAAGGGCAATGGAACACCCCATACGAGTGGGACAACCGCATGGAAAAAGAAGAAGCCCTAAGTACAAATTGCTTTGTTTCATCAAACGCGACGTTTTTATTAAAAAAAAATGTTTTACGATTGAGACCCAATGGGGTGCCAGGTTGCAGTGGAGGTCACGGACCACTGCGGCGTTGTGTGCGGTGGGGAGGGCACACGGGGGGGGGGGGTAGGGGCACACGGGGGGGAGGGGCACACGGGGGGGGGGGAGGGGCACACGGGAGGGGGAGGGGCACACGGGGGGAGGGGCATACGAGGGGAGCGAGGTGATTGGTTGATTCTCCGAGGCCTCGGGTACCCAATCAGCCGAGGCCTCGCCACGGCTCGTGGTGACGTCACGCACAGGGAGCGCGACCCGGAACAGCGTGGAGCCCGGGACGATGGGTGAGTGAGTGGTGGGTGATGAGTGAGTGAGTGGTGGGTGAGTGGTGAGTGAGTGGTGGGTGAGTGGTGAGTGAGTGAGTGAGTGGTGGGTGAGTGAGCGAGTGGTGAGTGAGTGGTGGGTGAGTGAGTGAGTGGTGGGTGAGTGAGTGAGTGGTGGGTGAGTGAGTGGTGGGTGAGTGAGTGAGTGGTGAGTGAGTGGTGGTGAGTGAGTGGTGGGTGAGTGAGTGGTGAGTGAGTGAGTGGTGGGTGAGTGAGTGGTGAGTGAGTGGTGAGTGAGTGGTGAGTGAGTGAGTGGTGAGTGAGTGGTGGGTGAGTGAGTGGTGGTGAGTGAGTGGTGAGTGAGTGGTGAGTGAGTGGTGAGTGAGTGAGTGGTGAGTGAGTGGTGGGTGAGTGAGTGGTGTGAGTGAGTGGTGAGTGAGTGAGTGGTGAGTGTGGTGAGTGAGTGTGGTGAGTGTGGTGAGTGAGTGGTGAGTGAGTGAGTGGTGAGTGAGTGGTGGGTGAGTGAGTGGTGGGTGAGTGAGTGGTGAGTGAGTGGTGAGTGAGGTGAGTGAGTGAGTGGTGAGTGAGTGGTGGTGAGTGAGTGGTGAGTGGTGTGAGTGAGTGAGTGGTGAGTTAGTGGTGGGTGAGTGAGTGGTGGGTGAGTGGTGTGAGTGGTGTGAGTGGTGGGTGAGTGAGTGGTGGGTGAGTTAGTGGTGGGTGAGTGAGTGGTGGGTGAGTGGTGAGTGAGTGAGTGGTGGGTAAGTGAGTGGTGGGTGGGTGGTGAGTGAGTGGTGGATGAGCAAGTTGTGGATGAGCAAGTGGTGAGTGGTAGGTGAGTGAGTGGTGAGTGAGTGGTGGATGAGCAAGTGGTGGATGAGCAAGTGATGAGTGAGTGGTAGGTGAGTGAGTGGTGAGTGAGTGAGTGGTGGATCAGCAAGTGATGAGTGAGCATCTGAACCGTTTCGGAGCCTCCCGAGGTACATTCCGCTTCAAACGAGTAGTCAGTGCTGTGTGTAAACATCGCCACTGGGGAGACAAAGGCGGCCGAGCGTGGTGCTGGCCACCCACCCACCCCCTCGTGTGCCGTGCCGGCCTTCACAGACGCTCATTCACGGAAACTTGCCCCGACAGTCCGCCAAAGCCAGCCCAAGGACGCCTTTAAACGTGGCCGCAAAGAGCACCTAGCCTGGCACCTGACCCCTGACCTGACCCCTGACCTGGCATCTGACCTGACCCCTGACCTGGCACCTAGCCTGGCACATGGCCTGACCCCTGACCTGGCACCTAGCCTGGCACCTGACCTGGCACCTGGCCTGGCACCTGACCTGACCCCTGACCTGGCACCTAGCCTGGCACCTGGCCTGACCCCTGACCTGGCACCTGACCTGCCACCTGGCCTGGCACCTGACCCCTGACCTGGCACCTGACCTGACCCCTGACCTGGCACCTGACCTGGCACCTGACCTGGCACCTGGCCTGGCACCTGGCGTGGCACCTGACCCCTGACCTGGCACCTGACCTGACCCCTGACCTGGCACCTGACCTGGCACCTGGCGTGGCACCTGACCCCTGACCTGGCACCTGACCTGACCCCTGACCTGGCACCTGACCTGGCACCTAGCCTGGCACCTGGCCTGGCACCTGACCTGGCAGCTAGCCTGGCACAGGCGTCGTGTTGAATGGCGGCTGTTGGTCAGCGCCCTGTGAAGTTAGTGCGGTGCGGGGCCTGTAGCGTATGTTATAAAGGGGCCTTAAAAACACGTAAATATTAAAACACATAAATGTTTAACTTGTACAGTAAAGTAATGTATTTTTTCATTTGCTGTACAGCCAGATAATACGACAATTCGCTAACCTTAGACACCCAGTCGTTCGTAAAAGTTGAAGACGGTATGGTACTATAGTAATAGAGCAAGTGCAGAATCACTGAACCGGAATTGATAGCTTGAAAGCGTTTGGTGCGGGGCCCTTGAAAGTGCGGGGCCCGTAGCTACTTATGCAGCTACTACATATGTAGTAGCTGCATATGTAGCTACATGTGTAGCTACTTATGCTACTACACATGTAGCTACATGTGTAGCTACTACACAAGTAGCTACATGTGTAGTAGCTACTGGGATAATCCGGCACTGGTCTGCTATTCTTGTTGGTCGCCTCTCGTCGAATCTTGGCGGAGAAATATTTTCCGGAGTTCAGACCCGGGACAGGAAGAGACCGGATTCCATCCTCCCACACGGCGGGTTCCACCACGTTGCTCAGGGCGGGTTCGTGAAGGAGGAGAGCAATGGCCGTGGGAGCATAGAAGTACTGTACAGTACAATTGTATTTTGCTGCACTCTCCACCACGCAGACCCCCCAACCCTATGGCAACCTCTGTCCACGGTGGCCACAGGCCCCATGTCCTCCGTATCCCTGTCATCATGCCCCCCGTGTCCCCTACCCCGTGTCTCCAGTTGTATCCCCGTGTCTCCAGCTATGCCTCCGTGTCTCCAGCTATGCCCCCGTGTCTCCCGCTGTGTCCCCGTGTCTCCCGCTGTGTCCCCGTGTCCCCAGCTATGCCCCCGTGTCTCCCGCTGTGCCCCCGTGTCTCCCGCTGTGTCCCCGTGTCCCCAGCTATGCCCCCGTGTCTCCCGCTGTGTCTCCGTATCTCCCGCTGTGCCCCCGTGTCCCCAGCTGTGCCCCCGTGTCCCCAGCTATGCCCCCGTGTCTCCAGCTATGCCCCCGTGTCTCCCGCTGTGCCCCCGTGTCTCCGACTGTGTCCCCTTGTCCCCGCAGCGAACACGGGGTCTGACGCTGCCCTCTCCGCCTTCTGCCGGAGGAGCGTGGAGAGGGTGCGGCGCGAGAGCCAGGGTCCCAGGGGCAACGAGACCCCGAGAGGGGTCACGTGGACCCCCAGAGGGGATCCCGAGGAGGAGGAGACCCCTATCCCCGAGGTGCTGCTGCAGAGATTGCGTCTCGCCACGATGGCGGACGATGTGCGGCAGGTGAGGACGGGGTGTGTAGATGCAGATGGGGAGGCGCATGGGTGTTGAGGGACTGCCTGGTGTTGAGTGACTGTGAGTGACTGTGAGTGACTATGAGTGACTGAGTGACTGTGCGTGACTGTGAGTGACGGTGCGTGGTGTTGAGTGACTGTGAGTGACTGTGAGTGACTATGAGTGACTGAGTGACTGAGTGACTGTGCGTGACTGTAAGTGACGGTGCGTGGTGTTGAGTGACTGTGAGTGACTGTGAGTGACTATGAGTGACTGAGTGACTGTGCGTGACTGTGAGTGACGGTGCGTGGTGTTGAGTGACTGTGAGTGACTGTGAGTGACTATGAGTGACTGAGTGACTGAGTGACTGTGCGTGACTGTAAGTGATGGTGCGTGGTGTTGAGTGACTGTGAGTGACTGTGAGTGACTGTGAGTGACTGAGTGACTGTGAGTGACTATGAGTGACTGAGTGACTGAGTGACTGTGCGTGACTGTAAGTGATGGTGCGTGGTGTTGAGTGACTGTGAGTGACTGTGAGTGACTGAGTGACTGTGAGTGACTGTGAGTGACTATGAGTGACTGAGTGACTGTGCGTGACTGTAAGTGACGGTGCGTGGTGTTGAGTGACTGTGAGTGACTGTGAGTGACTGTGAGTGACGGTGCGTGGTGTTGAGTGACTGTGAGTGACTGTGAGTGACTGAGTGACTGAGTGACTGTGCGTGACTGTAAGTGACGGTGCGTGGTGTTGAGTGACTGTGAGTGACTGTGAGTGACTATGAGTGACTGAGTGACTGAGTGACTGTGCGTGACTGTGAGTGACGGTGCGTGGTGTTGAGTGACTGTGAGTGACTGTGAGTGACTATGAGTGACTGAGTGACTGAGTGACTGTGCGTGACTGTGAGTGACGGTGCGTGGTGTTGAGTGACGGTGCGTGGTGTTGAGTGACTGTGAGTGACTGTGAGTGACTATGAGTGACTGAGTGACTGAGTGACTGTGCGTGACTGTGAGTGACGGTGCGTGGTGTTGAGTGACTGTGAGTGACTGTGAGTGACTATGAGTGACTGTGAGTGACTGTGAGTGACGGTGCGTGGTGTTGAGTGACTGTGAGTGACTGTGAGTGACTATGAGTGACTGAGTGACTGAGTGACTGTGCGTGACTGTGAGTGACGGTGCGTGGTGTTGAGTGACGGTGCGTGGTGTTGAGTGACTGTGAGTGACTGTGAGTGACTGTGAGTGACTGTGAGTGACGGTGCGTGGTGTTGAGTGACTGTGAGTGACTGTGAGTGACTATGAGTGACTGTGAGTGACTGTGAGTGACTGTGAGTGACGGTGCGTGGTGTTGAGTGACTGTGAGTGACTGTGAGTGACTATGAGTGACTGTGAGTGACTGTGAGTGACTGTGAGTGACGGTGCGTGGTGTTGAGTGACTGTGAGTGACTGTGAGTGACTGAGTGACTGTGCGTGACTGTAAGTGACGGTGCGTGGTGTTGAGTGACTGTGAGTGACTGTGAGTGACTATGAGTGACTGTGAGTGACTGTGAGTGACTGTGAGTGACGGTGCGTGGTGTTGAGTGACTGTGAGTGACTGTGAGTGACTGAGTGACTGTGCGTGACTGTGAGTGACGGTGCGTGGTGTTGAGTGACTGTGAGTGACTGTGAGTGACTGAGTGACTGAGTGACTGTGCGTGACGGTGCGTGGTGTTGAGTGACTGTGAGTGACTGTGAGTGACTGTGAGTGACTGTGAGTGACGGTGCGTGGTGTTGAGTGACTGTGAGTGACTGTGAGTGACTGAGTGACTGTGAGTGACTGTGAGTGACTGTGAGTGACTGAGTGACTGTGAGTGACTGTGAGTGACTGTGAGTGACTATGAGTGACTGAGTGACTGAGTGACTGTGCGTGACTGTAAGTGACGGTGCGTGGTGTTGAGGGACTGTGAGTGACTGTGAGTGACTATGAGTGACTGAGTGACTGAGTGACTGTGCGTGACTGTAAGTGACGGTGCGTGGTGTTGAGTGACTGTGAGTGACTGTGAGTGACTATGAGTGACTATGAGTGACTGAGTGACTGTGCGTGACTGTAAGTGACGGTGCGTGGTGTTGAGTGACTGTGAGTGACTGTGAGTGACTATGAGTGACTGAGTGACTGAGTGACTGTAAGTGACGGTGCGTGGTGTTGAGTGACTGTGAGTGACTGTGAGTGACTGTGAGTGACTGAGTGACTGTGCGTGACTGTAAGTGACGGTGCGTGGTGTTGAGTGACTGTGAGTGACTGTGAGTGACTGTGAGTGACTGTGAGTGACTGAGTGACTGTGAGTGACTGTGAGTGACTGTGAGTGACGGTGCGTGGTGTTGAGTGACTGTGAGTGACTGTGAGTGACTGAGTGACTGAGTGACTGTGCGTGACTGTAAGTGACGGTGCGTGGTGTTGAGTGACTGTGAGTGACTGTGAGTGACTGAGTGACTGTGAGTGACTGTGAGTGACGGTGCGTGGTGTTGAGTGACTGTGAGTGACTGTGAGTGACTGTGAGTGACGGTGCGTGGTGTTGAGTGACTGTGAGTGACTGTGAGTGACTGAGTGGGTGAGTGACTGAGTGACTGTGCGTGACTGTGTGTGACGGTGCGTGACGGTGCTTGTCTGAGTGAGTGACTGTGAGTGACTGAAGGAGTGACTGTGAGTGACTGTGAGTGACTGTGAGTGACTGAGGGAGTGACTGTGAGTGACGGTGCGTGATGGTGTGTTGAGTGACTGTGAGTGACTGTGAGTGACTATGAGTGACTGTTAGTGACTGTGAGTGACGGTGCGTGACTGTGAGTGACTGCGTGACGGTGCGTGGTGTTGAGTGACTGAGTGAGTGACTGTGAGTGATTGAGTGAGTGACTGTGAGTGACTGTGAGTGACTGAGTGAGTGACTGTGACTGACTGAGTGACTGTGTGACGGTGCGTGACTGTGAGTGACTGCGTGACGGTGCGTGGTGTTGAGTGACTGTCAGTGAGTGACTGTGAGTGACTGCGTGACGGTGCGTGACGGTGCGTGACTGTGAGTGACTGAGTGAGTGACTGTGAGTGGCTGAGTGACTGAGTGACTGTGAGTGACTGCGTGGTGTTGCGTGACTGTGAGTGACTGCGTGACGGTGCGTGGTGTTGAGTGACTGAGTGATTGTGAGTGACGGTGCGTGATGGTGTGTGGTGTTGCGTGACTGAGTGAGTGACTGAGTGAGTGACTGTGAGTGACTGCGTGACTGACTGTGACTGTGAGTGAGTGACGGTGCGTGACTGAGTGACTGAGTTAGTGACTGTGAGTGACTGTGAGTGACTGAGTGAGTGACTGAGTGAGTGACGGTGAGTGACTGTGAGTGACGGTGCGTGATGGTGTGTGAGTGACTGTGAGTGACTGAGTGAGTGACTGAGTGACTGAGTGAGTGACTGTGAGTGAGTGAGTGACGGTGCGTGGTGTTGCGTGACTGAGTGACTGACTGTGACGGTGCGTGACGGTGCCTGGTGTTGCGTGACTGAGTGACTGAGTGAGTGACATGACTGAGTGACGGTGCGTGACTGAGTGAGTGACTGTGAGTGACTGAGTGAGTGACTGTGAGTGACGGTGCGTGACTGAGTGAGTGACTGAGGGAGTGACTGTGAGTGACTGAGTGAGTGACTGTGGGTGACTGTGAGTGACGGTGCGTGACGGTGCGTGACTGTGAGTGACTGCGTGACGATGCGTGGTGTTGAGTGACTGAGTGAGTGACTGTGAGTGACTGAGTGAGTGACTGAGTGAGTGATTGAGTGAGTGACTGTGAGTGACTGTGAGTGACTGAGTGAGTGACTGTGACTGACTGAGTGACTGTGTGACGGTGCGTGACTGTGAGTGACTGCGTGACGGTGCGTGGTGTTGAGTGACTGAGTGACTGTGAGTGACGGTGCGTGGTGTTGCGTGACTGTGAGTGGCTGTGAGTGACTGTGAGTGACGGTGCGTGACTGTGAGTGGCTGTGAGTGACTGTGAGTGACGGTGCGTGGTGTTGCGTGACTGTGAGTGGCTGTGAGTGACTGTGAGTGACGGTGCGTGGTGTTGCGTGACTGAGTGACTGACTGAGTGCGTGGTGTTGCGTGACTGAGTGAGTGACTGTGAGTGACTGAGTGAGTGACTGTGAGTGACTGTGAGTGACGGTGCGTGACGGTGCGTGACTGTGAGTGACTGCGTGACGGTGCGTGGTGTTGAGTGACTGAGTGACTGTGAGTGACTGCGAGTGACGGTGCGTGGTGTTGCGTGACTGTGAGTGACTGTCGAGTGACTGAGTGGGTGACTGTGAGTGACTGAGTGTGTGGTGTTGCGTGACTGAGTGAGTGACTGAGTGAGTGACTGTGACTGTGAGTGACGGTGCGTGACTGAGTGAGTGACTAAGTGTCTGAGTGACTGAGTGTGTGGTGTTGCGTGACTGAGTGAGTGACTGAGTGAGTGACTGAGTGACGGTGCGTGACTGACTGAGTGCCTGGTGTTGCGTGACTGAGTGCGTGGTGTTGCGCGACTGTGAGTGAGTGACTGAGTGACTGACTGAGTGACTGAGTGAGTGACTGCGTGACGGTGCGTGGTGTTGCGTGACTGAGTGACTGAGTGAGTGACTGACTGAGTGCGTGGTGTTGCGTGACTGAGTGACTGAGTGACTGAGTGACTGAGTGAGTGACTGAGTGCGTGGTGTTGCGTGACTGCTCCCCAGGCGAGCACGCTGCAGCTGCACGTGCCAGCGAGCTGCTCCGCGTGCCGCGACGCTGCCGCCGCCCTCGCCCGACAAGACTTTGTGCGGCGGAGATGGTCACAACTCCAGGAGCGCAGACTCCAGTGGGAGATCGAGGGACATCTCTACACGAAGGTGCACCTCTAAACACTCACACACACACCTCGGCACACAGAGACAAAGATCCCTCGTATATATCGTTTGACAAACTGTTGGGGCAAGAGCTGTTGGCGAGTTTTCGCGGCGCTGATGGTAAGGACCCGTCTCATGGTCGCATGCTGCAGGTTCAGCGGTAGTGTCTCCCACTGCCTGTCAGAGTGGCCATCAGTCACCAGATCATCACCATGCATAGCATGGTCGACCAGTAGGGAGCCATCCCTTGACCGCACCACGCCATCGATCAGCCTCCCATTGCATCTGCACCAGATCGATATTCCACCGGTACAGCCGTGGAAAGCGTCTCAAACGATGTGGTCAAAGATGTTAAGTTGTGTATGGGGCCAGAGGACATCCCTGTCGCACCCCAAGGTGATTGGGGAATGGCTTTGACGTAGATCACGCAGCTTTACCTGGGCCTGCCCACCATCACAAAAGGTCCTTAATGATTGTGAGCAGAGTCGTTTGAGACTCCAAAAGCATGAAGAACAACCCAAAAGCCCTGGCCTATTCATGGTATCATAGGCCTTGACCAGGTCAATAGAGCAGAGATGTAGGTCCTGTTGAAATTCTCTACACTTCTGCTGCAGCACACAGAGAAAATGGTGTCCGCCAAAACCGCTCTGGTCTGAAACCACATTGGAGCACCGCAACCCTCTCCTCGGCGTGTCTGGCAAGGTGATGTGGAATAACCCTTGCCATGACCTTTCCCGGCATACTGAGGAGGGAGATGCCTCGGAAGTTGTTGCAATCTGTGCGATGACATTCTCGCTTGCATCCTTCCAATTATATGGAACCCATCCTGCGGACCAGACCATTGCAATGATATCACATGGGGACATGGGGAAGTTTGCACACAAATGCCACCCCTCCCCCAGCAATTTGCTTCAGAGGTCATCTCTACCCGACGCTTTATTTGGTTTCAAACTCCGGATTGCCTTTCGCACTTCATCAACAGATGGCACACCAGCACTCGCAGGGAGTGGCTACTTCCTCCAACACGTTTAGCCTCGCCAGCACCAGCAGGGTCAACCCCACCTCGCCCGCTTATCCTCGGCAGATCTGCTGTGAAAGAGTTCTCGGGGGGCGGGGGTCGGAGATCAATTTTGCTTAAGAGGTGTGTTGCTGCAAGTCACTTTTTTGACGGAGTCAAACAGTGACTTGTCATCACAGGCTACCGAGTCAGTTTCCATTTCTTCAGCGGACCCGCGACCGCCACTCATCCTCGCAGTGCCGCACGCTTCTCCAAGCCACCGAGCGAAGGGCTGCGATGAAACTTCTCGGATGTCGTCGCGCGTTGGGAGCGGGGCCTGCCGCCTCCGCTAGCCAGGGCCACTGGGGAGTTCTGGACCGCTGTACCCCAAATGCAGCCGTTGCAGCTGCATGAACCTCTCAATTTCCCCTCGGCATTAGGAGGAGGAGGGGGAGGGGGGGTGATGCCAACCCCAGCTGCAATTGATGATGACATTCTCGCTTGCAATCTACATCGGCAGCGAGCTGAGATCACGGTCACGGTGGGTTTGAACGTGGTCCCAGGCGGACGCCCATCACCGCAGTGGAAGAATGGCAGGCGCATCCTCCAGATGGTAAGCTGATGATCGGTGGACACATCAGCTCCACGGTGGGTCCTGGTGTCAAGGACATTGGCCCGCATACGCTTTCCCCGTCACTATCTAGTCCAGCAGATGTTCTTGCTCGGACCCGGCGCGCGTTCGCACGCAACCCTGTACACCGAAACGCACGGCGGGCAAAGTGCATGTGGCAGGAAAACGATGCGATCGTGAAGAGGAGGAGGCTGCGATGGGTGGGACACGTGTGGATGCGTGGTGGAGGAGGAGAAGGAGAGCACGTTGTCGGGATGCGCATCGGAGAGGCGGTGGTGGTGATGCTGACGCTGTCGACACTGTCCTTGGGCATCGGGTTTCGACATCCAGCAGTTGATGAACCTAGCAGAAGGGGTGGTGGTGGTGGTGGTGAGATGTGGTGAAATCAACAGAATTGGCCGTGAAGGCTTCTTTACTCGGACACTTGACGTGGGCTAGATGTGGCCACGGTACCTGTCCGGGACGGTGGCTTCTCCCGGCTTATCGAACCGGCGGCGGTGCCCGTCCGCCGAGGCAGGCCCGCACGGCCGGTATCGCGGACCTGGTCTGGTGGTGCGGTGGCTCTGGTGTGGTCGGAGTGGTTGTTGTGGCCGGAGGTCTGAGCAGATGCCGGCCCTGATAAGCGGCCCGGCCACCGTGTTCTGGGAAACGACTCGAGCCGCACGTGGAAAATACCGCCTCGGCTCTGCTGCTGCCGCCCGATCGCACGGCACAAACACAACGCGAACCTTCAAAGGGCACCGGCCCCTAACAACAAAGCACAGTCCGGGTTCCTTGTGCCTTTTGGTCCACGTATTGATCTGTTAATGAATTAGTACGCGGACCGTTCTGCGTTTCCGCTAAGAAGTCGTTTCACTCCGTTAGTCCGTGCGCGCCCCTGCTCCCGCGTGGCAAGGCGGCTCACGAGACAAAGGTATCCCACGTAGCCTTTAAACACTGCTGGGGCGAGGGCTGTTCAGCGAGTAGCACCTATGAAGGCCGTCAATGGCACGCGAGGTGGTAGGCGGCCAACACCAAGCCTGGCTGCCTTTGTCTCCCCAGTGCCGATGTTTACACACCAGGTACTCATTTAAGGCTGAGCCTACCTAGGGGAGGACCAGGGCAGGTTCATATATTCGACATTGTTATTGTAGCTGCTGTTTAGTTGTCCTTGTGTCACCTCCGATTAGCACGGTTAGCTGCGTGCGGTGTGAAAGAAGTTCAACATGCATACATACATGGTCATGATCGGAAAAATGATTTGGGTTGTTGGGTTTGGAGCGCAGTGTGCTAACCACTGCGCTACCGCTCCCGAGAACAACACACACACCCACTCACTTGACCACCACACTGCAGGTCACAACAACCCACCCACCCACCACTCACTTAACCACCACACTGCAGGTCACAACAACCCACCCACCACTCACTTGACCACCACACTGCAGGTCACAACAACCCACCCACCACTCACTTGACCACCACACTGCAGGTCACAACAACCCACCCACCACTCACTTGACCACCACACTGCAGGTCACAACAACCCACCCACCACTCAATTAACCACCACACTGCAGGTCACAACAACCAACCCACCACTCACTTGACCACCACACTGCAGGTCACAACAACCCACCCACCACTCACTTGACCACCACACTGCAGGTCACAACAACCCACCCACCACTCACTTAACCACCACACTGCAGGTCACAACAACCCACCCACCACTCACTTAACCACCACACTGCAGGTCACAACAACCCACCCACCACTCACTTAACCACCACACTGCAGGTCACAACAACCCACCCACCACTCACTTAACTACCACACTGCAGGTCACAGCAACGCACCCACCGACCACTCACTTAACCACCACACTGCAGGTCACAACAACCCACCCACCCACCACTCACTTGACCACCACACTACAGGTGTGGTGTATGGTGCAAAAGAAATTCAACATGCATACTCTCTCTGCTTTTTAAATCCTTTATATTAAGTTCGCGTGCTTGCTTGCTTGCGTGCTTGCTTGCTTGCTTAGGACCGTGCAAATCTTTCGGTCGTTTTTTAACCCACTTCCCGTGATCCAATCGAGCTGACATTTTCCACACAGACTCGTTGTGCCAGACAATTATTGTTCGTGAAAAAAAATTCCCAAAATGTTACACTTTTTAGGCAAAAAAAATATATTTTACATATATTCAAATAGAACGCATTCATGGCTTTGGCTGAACGTCAGTGTAAGAGCCCAGAGCGTAACCCCTCCACAGGCCGTGGTGGAGTAGCGCAGTTGGTAGCGCCCTCGCTTCCCATGCCAAAGGTCGCGGGATCGATCCCCGCGTCCTCCACAGGCGAATATATTTTTAAATCCTTTATATTAAGTTCGCTTGCTTGCTTAGGACCGTGCAAATATTTCGCTCGTTTTTTAACCCACTTCCCGTGATCCAATCGAGCTGACATTTTCCACACAGACTCGTTGTGTGTGACAATTAATTTTCGTGAATTTTTTTTTCCTAAATTTTACACTGTTTAGGGAAAACAAATTAAATATGTAATTACCCATTGCTTAATACTGGCAGACAATCATCTGACCCATAGATTGCAGCCATCTCAAGCCAGAGGACGAGAGAACTCTAGCCGCCACGCATATAAAGGATTTAGAGTGAAAAACTTTGTTTTTACGGGTTTACTTGTTTCCCTTGCACTGCTCCTCTCTGTTACCAACAGCACTTGCCCCCAGTGGTGTGTTAAAGGCTCCACAGGGGACTTTGTCATTGTGGTGCATGAGGTCTGTGTATGTGGGAAAGTCTTTGTGGTGGGCGAGTGTATGGGGTGTGTGAGTGTGTACGTCTCTGCGTGTGCTATGTGTGATTTTTTTGGTGCGAGAGTGGAGTGTTGTTTGTGTGCGTGCGCGCGTGCCGGGTGTGTAAGTACATGTTTCTGTGCATGCAACGTATGCGGTTTGTCGCGTACAAGCGTGGCTGTGTGTATGCACGCTTTGATGTGCATGTGGCACACGTGTGGGGTGTGAGTGTGTGACGTGCGAGTGTGTGGTGCATGTGTAATGTAGCTCTCGGAGACACCGCCTTGTTCAGTAATATGTATATTTGTTGTGAATGAAGTCCGCCGACTCACTGATAACTTAACGAGTAACCGCGAGTTGACTATACACAGCTGGGTAACTCCTGTGACTCCACGCGACGCTCCCCATGGAGCTGGCTGACTACACAGGAGCGGATGCGTAGAAGTCACAGAGACAATATGTAACTCTAGCCTTCCAAGACGACACGGTGCCTGATCCAGGACGATGAAGACGACCCGCTCCGAGATGACGACGACGACGACAGAGCCCCGTTCCACGGCGGCTTTTATCCACCCCTCGACCCGGCCACAGCCCTTTTCTCGAACTCTCTCCCACCTCGTCTGGGCAGGTCTGTCCCTGTCTCAATGATTATTTACGACCACTCAGGTCCCGTGCTGTCACTTGGAGCCCAGTTCTTCAAGTGACTGCTGCTGTGTAAAACCCAGTTGGGTGATTTGCAGTGGATTTTTTTCATAATTGGGATTTTTTGTCGATACCCGGTTTGTGTGTTTAAGTACGAGAGGAAACCGGAGAACCTGGAAAAAACTCGTGCAGAACAGGGGGAGATCACACAAACTCCACACACTCTCTCACCCTCACTCACTAACACGATGCGGTAGAACAGGGGGAGATCACACAAACTCCACACTCTCTCACCCTCACTCACTCACACGATGCAGTAGAACAGGGGGAGATCACACAAACTCCACACACTCTCTCACCCTCACTCACTCACACGGTGTGGTAGAACAGGGGGAGAACACACAAACTCCACACACTCTCACCCACACTCACTCACACAGTGCGGTAGAACAGGGGGAGATCACACAAACTCCACACACTCTCTCACCCTCACTCACTCACACGGTGTGGTAGAACAGGGGGAGATCACACAAACTCCACACACTCTCTCACCCTCACTCACTCACACGGTGCGGTAGAACGGGGGGAGAACACACAAACTCCACACACTCTCTCACCCTCACTCACTCACACGGTGTAGTAGAACAGGGGGAGAACACACAAACTCCACACACTCTCACCCTCACTCACTCACACGGTGCGGTAGAACAGGGGGAGATCACACAAACTCCACACACTCTCACCCTCACTCACTCACACGGTGCGGTAGAACAGGGGGAGATCACACAAACTCCACACACTCTCTCACCCTCACTCACTCACACGGTGCGGTAGAACAGGGGGAGAACACACAAACTCCACACACTCTCTCACCCTCACTCACTCACACGGTGTGGTAGAACAGGGGGAGACCACACAAACTCCACACACTCTCTCACCATCACTCACTCACACGGTGTAGTAGAACAGGGGGAGAACACACAAACTCCACACACTCTCTCACCCTCACTCACTCACACGGTGTAGTAGAACAGGGGGAGACCACACAAACTCCACACACTCTCTCACCATCACTCACTCACACGGTGTAGTAGAACAGGGGGAGATCACACAAACTCCACACACTCTCTCACCCTCACTCACTCACACGGTGTAGTAGAACAGGGGGAGAACACACAAACTCCACACACTCTCTCACCCTCACTCACTCACACAATGCAGTAGAACAGGGGGAGAACACACAAACTCCACACACTCTCTCACCCTCACTCACTCACACGGTGCAGTAGAACAGGGGGAGATCACACAAACTCCACACACTCTCTCACCCTCACTCACTCACACGGTGCAGTAGAACAGGGGGAGATCACACAAACTCCACACACTCTCTCACCCTCACTCACTCACACGGTGCGGTAGAACAGGGGGAGAACACACAAACTCCACACACTCTCTCACCCTCACTCACTCACACGGTGCGGTAGAACAGGGGGAGATCACACAAACTCCACACACTCTCTCACCCTCACTCACTCTCACGGTGCAGTAGAACAGAGGGAGATCACACAAACTCCACACACTCTCTCACCCTCACTCACTAACACGGTGTAGTAGAACAGGGGGAGAACACACAAACTCCACATACTCTCTCACTCTCACTCACTAACACGGTGCGGTAGAACAGGGGGAGAACACACAAACTCCACACACTCTCTTACACTCACTCACTCACACGGTGTAGTAGAACAGGGGGAGAACACACAAACTCCACACACTCTCTCACCCTCACTCACTCACACGGTGCAGTAGAACAGGGGGAGAACACACAAACTCCACACACTCTCTCACCCTCACTCACTCACACGGTGCAGTAGAACAGAGGGAGAACACACAAACTCCACACACTCTCTCACCCTCACTCACTCACACCGTGTGGTAGAACAGGGGGAGAACACACAAACTTCACCTAAACAAAAACCCAGGGCCCTTTTTGCCACCGGTGCGGCACCACCGTCACCCTGCTGCTCGAGTTGTTTGACGGTGACACCACGTGACTCGACGTGCGGTGCAACGGAGCAGCTTGGAGGGGCTCGGCACTTCCACCGGCGCGGCGGGGAAACCGGGCGCGGCGTGGATGGCGGCTCGTGCCAGAGCCACGGCGCGGTGGCCAGGGTCGATCTGGGGGCCACGGGACGGCGGGGGCGAGCGCCCTGGCGGGAAGCCGTGTCGCGGTGTCGCGGTGACTCGGGGTTACATTCACGTCGGAGTGAACGCGCGTGCGCGTGCGTGTGTGTGTGCATACTTGTGCGTGTGTGTGCACATACGTGTGCGCATGTGTGCACGTACGTGTGTGTTCGCGTGCGTGTGTGTGCGTGTGTGTGCGCGTGCGTGTGTGTGCGTGTGTGTGCGCATGCATGTGCGCGTGTGTGTGTGCGCGTACTTGTGCGCATACGTGTGCGTTTGTGTGCACGTACATGTGTGTGCGCGTACGTGTGTGCGCGTACGTGTGTGTATGCTGAGCCGTAGTGCAGCGGTTAAGGCGCTGCGCTGCGAACCTGGCAGCGCAGTTCGATGGCCGCTCAAGCCAACCCCAGTGGCTATTATCTGACCCGGTCCGGGGCCTCCCCTAGGTCGACTCAGATTCAAATGAGTACCTGGTGAGGTGTGCAGACATCACTACTGGGGAGACAAAGGCGGCCGGGCGTTGTGCTGGCCACTCACCCCTCGTGCACCATATCGCCCTTCTTAGGCGCTCGCTAACAGCACTTGCCCCTACAATCTGTTAAGCTTATACGGGGAATCTTTGTCTTTGTGTGCGCGCCAGGACTCGCTGTCTCTCATTGGGGTCATTCACGAGGGACTGCCCCGCCCCTCTGCACCCCCGGAGGTCATCTGGGGTCAGCTGAAGAGCAGAGAATCCTCACGGAGAGACCTGAAGGATAACCCTGATAGAGAGACCCCCAGAGAGAGGAGAGACCCCCAGAGAGAGGAGAGACCCCCAGAGATAGACCCCAGATACAGACCCCCCAAGCAGGACCCCCGAGAGCCCAGCTGATAAACAGCAGCCCCCCCCCCTGGTCGCCTGGTCACAGTTGCGACGTCCTTCACCCCGTGTGAAGGGTCACGGAGGTCACGATCCCCAACCTCGGGTACAGAACCGGTCTGTGCGGTGACACCACTGAACGATCCAGCGTGGTGGATCAGTGCAACTGCCATCGTGGTGGGAGTACAACAAGTGGGTTCTGAAACCCGTTTGTGCGGCCCTGAAAGTGTTATTTCCTCGTGCGTCAGTGGTGAGTGCCCTCCGCTCTCCGCACTCCCCTCGCACGCGCAAAATAATCGAAGGTTGCTCGATTTGGATCGAACAAACTCATCCCCCCACGGTGGCAAGACCCCTCCTTGAAAGAGCGCCTCGCGACTTGGTCGATGGCTACCTGGAGAAATTGATGGCATCGTTCGACTTCTCCGTCGTGCATAAACTCTCTCTCTCTCTGTGGCCAAATGCAAATATTCGCAGAACTCCGTTCCGTCTCCATGTCGACGATCACTGTATTCATCGCCGGCTCTGCGCACCAATGTTATCACAATAAAGAAGCTGCCTTCCTCCGCATAGCAACGCTGTTGTGTTTGTGTACGCATCCCATCAGCAACGCGGCCTTTTTGTGCGAGTTTAAAAATGTGTTTTTTCTTCAGCAGCATCGGTTCAACGCGAGCGACCTCTGGACCGGCTTCTCAACCTCCTGGGCTCTGCCGGGCTGCCCGCCCGCCCGCTGTGATTGGCAGCAGCGCCCTCGCGGTGGCGTGGTCACGTGGCCACTTTGGGGGCTCTCTCGTCGTGGGACTCCCGGGATTTGGGGGTGTATGTGGGGGGGGGGACACGGTGGGGGTTGGGGGGGAGGTGCTGTGACCCGAGGAGCCCCCCCCCCCCCCGGTGCAGAGCTGTGACCCCCTTTGTGAACAGCAGGGGTCGCCCTTCCCATCCACGAGACGAGCGGGGCCCGAATCCTGATCGGTGTGGCCGCTCGCGCCCTGCAGGCTCGCGTTGGGCCTTGAGGTGGCGCTCATCCCTTTCAAATCCCTGAGTCGGTGGTGGAAATTCGGCATTTCGCCATGGCGGGTGGCGGTGTCTGCTCCACGTGGGTTAAATCGCAGTGGAATCCCCCCACAAAGTGGTACCCGTTTTTATCGACCCCCAGAGAGATGATGGGTTGAGTGAACCCCCACCCCACCCTACCCTACCCCCGCACCAGAGATTTGAACTCCGCGACCTTCCGATGGCTGCGAGCCGCCGCCGCCTCTGGACCGAGGGAATCAAAGAATTGAACATTTCCCTCCGAGTTCCCCCCGGTAGCTTGTCCAAGTCGCAGGGCGACAGAGTGGACGTTTCGCTGACATTGCTGCGCCAGGACGAGAGGCGTCAACTGACGTGTTACTACTCATCGATTGTAACAACACGTGGTTTTAATCTTCTTGGTTCTTTCGGTAAAGTCACGTAGAAGGGAAGTAATAAAATAATAAAAATAAAACATAATAAAACAATTCTCACGACGTTTCGGCCACAACGCAAGCAGCCGTCCTCAGGTGAAAACCAGGTCCGTCGAGGCGACAGAGTCTGAATGAAACAGCACACGGGCTTGGAGCATATATATAAGCTGGGCGCATTGACAAAGGAATTTGCATATCAACAGGAATTTAGCATATTTATGGGAAATGCAGGAATGTAATTAGTACTGCATATGCATGTGCATTATGCAGGATTAACAGCATCAAAGGGAGCTGCAGTTACTGCTGCTGCAGTAGTTGCTGCTGCTGCAGTTTCTGCTGCTGCTGCAGTTGCTGCTGCTGCTGCAGTTGCTGCTGCTGCTGCACTTGCTGCTGCTGCTGCACTTGCTGCTGCTGCTGCACTTGCTGCTGCTGCTGCACTTGCTGCTGCTGCTGCACTTGCTGCTGCTGCTGCAGTTGCTGCCTTATCCATTTTAATATAACACTATGTATTATTCTACCCACCCTAATGTGTATCATACTGCTATATGTTTACTGTACAATTACGACACCATACATTACTCTGCACACTGCACCATGCCAGTGAGTGGAACGCGGTCTGAAAGTCACCGTTAACGTGAACACAATCAGTTAAGATCCGAAATGGTTTATTACGTCCTTCCAATGATTGCTAAGCCAGAATCCATCTTCTCGGTTGAAATTGTCTCTGTGTTTGTATATGTGGATCGCCTCATGAACGAATCTCTCATGATAGCCAGATGGCTTGCAGAGAACCTCTGTCTTGGAGAAGTCAATGTCATGTGAGCCCACTGAATTGTAACAGTGATCTGCCACGGCTGAGGTGTTTGTCCTACCGTGTTTCAGGTCTGCCTTATGTTCACGGATGCGGTCCGAGACATGTCGTTTGGTTTCTCCAATGTAACTGCTACCACAGAGGCAACTTAGTTTGTAGACGCCAGGGTACTGTATGTCTGGAACCACATCTTTTACAGACGGGACCAGATCACGGATTTTATGTACTGTGTTGAATCGGACCTGGATCTTGTGTTTAATCAGGATTTTGGAGATCTTTTTTGTGACCCCAGCAATGTAGGGTAAGGTGATGGTCTTGAAAGGCTCCTCAACAGGATCCTTCTTGATGGTTGGAGTGATGGCTTTGCGGATTGTGTAGTCGGAGTAACCATTAGCCTTAAGAGCTTGGCGTACGTGTTTGAGTTCACTGGAAATGTGTTCATGGTCGGAGATGCATTGGGCTCTATGATATAGAGTCTTGATGAGGGAATTCTTCTGGGATGGATGGTGGTGGGAATCCGGTTTTAGATAAGCATCCGTGTGGGTGGCTTTCCTGTAGACAGAGTGGCTCATTGAACCATCAGGTCTCCTTTTGATTAGGACATCCAAAAAGGGTAGCTTGCCATCATTTTCGACTTCCATGGTGAATCTGATGGCTGGGTGTATGGAATTGATGTGGTCGAGAAATTGGTCTAGAGCAGGCCGGCCATGTGGCCGTGGTTTTAACTTCACTTTTAAGGCAGCCCCCTTTGACCCCGATGGAAGGGGCCTCACCACCACCCCTGTGGGAGGGTTGGGGAGGGGATATTTGACCACGCAGTACTTCATACGGTGCAGAAGAAGTTTAACAGCCATCCGACGCTGCTTCACAGTGGCGGTTGGGGGAGAGGACAGCCGAGTGGCAATAACAGCGCAGGGTTACTGCTGCAGTAGCACAGTAGCACAGAGCCCCCCCCTTGCTTGACATGGGGGCGTGATGGGGGTACCCCCCCCCCCCCCCCGTGTGGGTTGATCGAGATTGAACTCCTCTGTGATGAGCTCACGACAGGGGAACTGCCCGGAACGCCGTCGGTTTCTCTCTCTCCCCCCCACCTGCTGCTGCTGCTCCTGCTGCTGCTGCTACTGCTCCTGCTGCTCCTACTGCTGCTACTGCTGCTGCTGCTCCTGCTGCTGCTGCTGCTGCTCCTGCTGCTGCTCCTGCTGCTGCTGCTGCTCCTGCTGCTGCTGCCTTCTCTGGCCAGTGTTGTTGACCCAAAGCGTCGACTCTCTCAGCCGCATTCCACGAAGGCTGCTGTAGTATTATTAGTAGTAGTATTAGTAGTATTATTAGTAGTATTATTGGTAGTATTATTAGTAGTATTAGACGAGGGGTCTTTGCCTCTGTGTGCGCGCGCGAGCTGGACGTGTCTTTGGAGTTCACGTCGTGTTTTTGCTTCATTACCGGTAACCGCGTGGGGGGAACTGGCTAAACGGTTACCGGTTATCGCCTAACAATCACCGTGTGTGCGCGTGGATGCTTGTCTCGAGATCTGCCACCCCCTCCTCCCCCCCTCCACCCCCTACTCCTCCTCTCTCCCTCTCCCCCCCTCCACCCCCCCCCCCTCCTCCCCCCCTCCACCCCCCCCTCCTCTCCCTCCTCCACCCCCCATCCTCCCCCTCCTCCCCCTCCTCCCCCCTCCTCCTCCCTCCCCCCCTTATCCTCCTCTCCCTCCCCCCCTTATCCTCCTCTCCCTCCCCCGCTCCTCCCCTCCTCCCTCCCCCCCTCCTCTCTCCCCCCTCCCCCCCTTCTCCTCCCCCCCTCCCCCCCTTCTCCTCCCCCTCCCCCCCTCCTCCGCCCCTCCCCCTCCCCTCCCCGCCTCCCCCTCCCCCTCCCCCCTCCCCCTCCCCCTCCCCTCCCCCCTCCCCCTCCCCCCCTCCCCCTCCCCTCCCCCCCTCCCCCTCCCCCTCCCCTCCCCCCTCCCCTCCTTCCCCCCTCCTCCTCCCCTCCACCTCCTCCCCCCCTTCCCTCCTCCCCCCCCTCCCCACCTCCTCCCCCCCCTCCTCCCTCCCTCCCCCCTCCTCCCCCGTTTCCTTCCCCCTCATTTCCTCGCTCCCAGTGCCCCGGGGCCCCCGTGGGCGGGATGGGCCCCCTCCCCTGACCCCGCCGCCTCCCCCACCCGCCTCAGAGAGGGAGGTAATTAGTTAATTACCCGAGGTAATTGGTTAATGTCTCTGATGCGGGGGGGGGGTGAGGGGGGGGGCATGCCCCTCATCCCCAGCCCACGTGACCACAGCTCGGTTCCTACCCACGGCGAACGTGTTAAGTGGCGAGTGTTTGAGTAGCTGGTGCGGAGTTGTGTGAAGACATCGCGTGGTGCTGGCCACCCCTTCCTCGTGTGCCGTGCCGGCCTTCATAGGTGCTGCTCGCTAACAGCACTTGCCCCAACAGTCAGTTACAGGCTATACGCGGGGGTCTGTGTATATGTGTGTGTTTGTGTATACTGTCTTGTGTGTGTCTGGAAGTGTGTCTATGGATATCTGTGTTGTCCGTGTGTGTTAAGTATGTCTGTAAGTGTGTCTATATCTGCGTGTGTTTGTTAAGTGTCTGTGTATATATCTCTGTGTGTGTGTCTTTACATAGCTCTGTGTGTGTCTATGTATGTATATCTGTAAGTGTGTCTATATATATATCTGTGTGTGTGTCTATGTATATATCTGTGTGTGTGTCTATGTATATATGTGTGTGTGTGTCTATGTTTATATCTGTAAGTGTGTCTATGTATATATCTGTGTGTGTGTCTATGTATAGCTCTGTGTGTGTGTCTATGTATATATATTTGTAAGTGTGTCTGTATATATCTGTGTGTGTGTCTATGTATATCTCTGTGTGTGTCTATGTATATGTGTGTGTCTATGTATATATCTGTGTGTGTGTCTATGTATATATCTGTGTGTGTGTTTGTTAAGTCTGTGTTGCACAGCCTCATTAAGCGGAGCTGGTGGCTGCTCTGGGCTCCTCAGTGATCTCTGGGAAGGAATGCGGCGGCCTGGACGAGAGAGAGTGGACAGGCAGAGACGACCCCCGTGTCGCAGGACTCGGAAAATCGCACCGATGCAGTATTTCACACGTGCAGAAGACAAAGATCCCCCGTGTAGACTTAACAGACGTTTGGGTCAAGTGCTCTTGGCGAGCACCTACGAAGGGCAACGCGACGCACGAGGGGGTGGGTGGCCAGCACCACGCCCGACCGCCTTTGTCTCCCCAGTGGCGATGTTTACACACCGCACCAGGTACTCATTTGAGGCTGAGCCGACCTAGGCGAGGCCCAG